TTCTAGCAAATCAGGTTTTTAAAAATCAAAATAATCCAAATATTTTCATAAGTGTCATATGCAATTACAATTGTGAGTGTTCAGAGTTAATTTTACAAAGGGATCGTTGAAAGATGTAGACATTTGGGGCCTGTCCACTTGAGTTGTATTTACTGACTTCAGTTTTCTAGGGCTATTTTACTGAGCACTGATATATGAGAACAATGAGATGAAATGTTTGAATACAGATTCTTTTATATTCTCTATCTTTGCTTGATTTGAGGCCTAACAAGAAAACATATTTCAAGAGATGTTTTAATTATATATGTGCAAGTACTTCATCTTATTTTCACCATAAGATTCATTTAAAACTTTATCCAAAATTTTATGGATCAAACAATAAGGAAATATGTCAATTTTTCATGAAAAATAAATAAAAAGTTAGATGAGTAATCAAATATGGATTTACTTAAGGTCATTGTTTAGAAAGAAAGTACTTTGATTCATAGTGCTATAAAACTGTTTTAAACAGAGCACAGTGATCTGACAAGTAAATAAGATGGCCAGATTCATCAATTCTTAAGAAAATGTTAAATTGATTTGAATTCTGTAATGAAATAAATTTAAATACAGTTTGCACTTATGAATGTAAAACTACTGAATATGCACAGAAAAAAATTGGTTGTTTAGGAAAAATGTGCATTGAAATAATAAAATAGTAAGTGCAAGAAGTGTGAAGATTAAAATTCAAAAGTTTAAAATATTACTGAATTAGGAATGCTACTTTTTCCAGAACAAAGAAAATAAATTTACTGTAACTACTGAGTATGTCATAAAATATCATTAGAAATATAAATGCACTTGTATATCAGGTAATGTGAATCCAGTCTTCAAGAAAATACCAACAGGTCTTGACTTTGAGAAGAGTAAGGTTTTGGGTTTTTGTACATTCACATAGATAGCCATTTTTCTAATTTCATTGAACATAGGCATAATGAAAATTGACAATAACTCAAAAATGTATATGGTAGTAGAAAATGTAAATTTGCTTGACAATAGTAATCATTTCAGTATACATCTATTTATATGTCTCTATATAGGACATCTTAAACATATACAATAAGCATAAAATATACAATTTGACATTTTAATTGAAAGATAATTGTCTTCACATGTTAATAGGAACATTTTCAGAAATAGTGATTGAGTATATTTATTATGATATTTTAAAAGCTATTTATTTATTTGAAAGGCAGAGTGTGAGAGACAGAGGACGAGAAATAGAGATTAATCTTCCATCCACTGGTTTACTCTTAAAAGGCCACAAATGCTGAATGGGCTGGGCCAAAACCATGAGACAAGAACTCTAACATGGGTGACAGGGCCCTAGTAGTTGTGCTGTCTTCTGCTGCCTTCCCAGGCTCATTAGCAGGAAGCTGGACTGGAAGCAGAGCACTGGGAACTCGAACTGGCACTCTGAGATGGGATATATGATAGCAGCATTACAAGCAATAGCTTAACCAACTGCATCACAGCACTGGCTCTTGCTACAACATATTTTCTAAGTTGCTTATCAGCATAAGAACTATGGAAAGGGGCACTTTAGGACTTAACCAATCCTGAATTACTAAATCAAAAAAGTTATTAAAACTGAAAATGTTTGGGAATTTTATTAACAACTACATATTTTTATAAAACATACCATTCTCCTACCCCCAAATAATTAACAATGTAAACAAATTACCTAAAAGGCACAATTAAGTATTTTACCAGAAAAACATTTTGAATGGACTGTGTATTGCCTCCAGTTTCCATTTATGGTATATTGAACTACATAGCTAGAATTTCAGTTATCATTTCTAAAGATCCTAAATCCTTAGGAAATTTGACAATTTCGTAAAAAAAGTATGCAAAGATAGGGAACAATGTTGTGATGCAGCAATTTGAATTGCCACTTGTGAACCAAAATCTCATATTAGAGTGTCAGTTGGACTCCTGGGTGCTCTGCTTCCTACCCAGCTTCCTGCTAATGTGCCTGGAAAGCAGTGGAAGGTGGCCCATTACCCATGTATGATATATTGATGGGGTTCCTGGCTCCTAGATTTGGCCTGGTCCACTCCTGGCCATTGCAGTCATTTGGGGGGTGAACTAGCAGATAAAAGACCTCTCTGTTGTCCACTCTCATTCTCTGTCTTCCTCTCTCTTTTTGTCACTCTGCCTTTCTAACAAATAAAATATTTTAAATGTTTTATTTAAATATATTTAAATATTTAAAAATACAAAGACAAAAGCTTATTCAGTAACTAAAATATTTCTACATAAATATTTTATACTTATTTCAAATTGAATTGTATATTTTTAAAGAATGGAACTTATTTTAAGATCACATAATTTTTTTAAAGATTTTGCATTTATTTATTTCAGACGTAGAGTTACAGACAGTGAGAGGGAGAAGCAGAGAGAAAGGTCTTCCATCCATTGGTTCACTCCCCAGTGGCCGCAATGGCTGGAGTTGCACCGATCCAAAGCCAGGAGGCAGGTGCTACTTCCCGGTCTCCCATGTGGGTGCAGGGACCCAAGGACTTGGGCCATCTTCTACTGTTTTCCCAGGCCACATCAGAGAGCTGGATTGGAAGAGGAGCAACCAGGACTAGAACCAGCATCCATATGGGATGTCAGCACTGTAGGCAGAGGATTAACCTACTGCGCCACAGCACAGGCCCCAAGGTTATATAATTGTATTTATTAAGCATGATTTAGTTATACATGATTAACAATTGTTATACATATTCACATGACTACATTCTACATTCACTTACTTATAGGTTCTGTACATAGGAACTTGGGATATTACCCAGAAAATGGATTAGAATGATGAAGAATGACAGGAGCAGCCAGAACATGAACCAGCACCCATATGCCTGCACTGCACGCTGAGGCTTAGCCCACTATACCACAGTGCCGGCCTCATTCATAACAGTTTTTACAATTTTAAAATCTAAACTATATTAATTAGCTATAGTGAGAAAATCTAGACAGACTTGCTAAAAGTTGCTATTACTGCAGTTTAATGAATACATTAAGAAAAATATTAAACTGCAATAACAGTAGTCAGTATTTTAGTAAAGGGATTGAGGGAGTAAATAAGTGTAGAAACAAATATCTGGGAGTAGACACCTCAGATAAAAGAAGCAGTATGTTTCATGGGTCTTGAGGAAGGAGCTGTCTTTGGTGCAGGAGTGGTAAAGTTGGGGTGGAGGCAGCAAAACACAGATGGGGAGGGATTAAACCAGAGAAGTAACCAGGGCCAGGTCCCTCTGAGGACTTGCATGCTAGTCTGTTATGCGGAAGGCCACATGCTTTACTTAGTCTAATGTTTTAGATGACACTCTGTCCATGAAGAGACAAAGGGGACTGAAGGGACAGAGTAATAGAGACAGAAGCATCAGATCAGAGGGAACTGCCGGAATTCAAGATATGCACACAGCTCCCTCCTGGGTGACAGTGCTGAAGGTGGTGAGATGGGGTCAGACAGGCGATATCAACTAAAAGCAGCAACAAGAAAACTCAATGATGGATGGAACATGTTCAGTCCACTAGGATTACGAAGAGTAACTTTAAGCCAATAATTATAATCATTTTAGGTCCACCTTTTTTGGCATAGGTTTACAAAAGCAACTATCATTTAGAGTGCTCCTGCTAAAATGACACACTACTTATAATTCTATAATGGATAAAAATAGCTGAAGTGCCATATGACAGCTGCCTCCCCAGTAAGCAATGTGAAGATAATCCACACAGCAGGTTTATAACAATAATAAGAAAATTACACCAAATAAATTGAAAATAGGGACATATGGATTACAACTTTAAAACTAATTCTTGTTATTAAGACACCTAATTTTCTATAGCTTCTCTTTTTATAGCCATTCTAGTTTATTTTACTCTGCATGATATTTTAGCCTTCCACTAGGGTCTTCCCATGTCTCTTATGGGAAAGATGTAAATATAGTTATTTCTTAAATTTCCTTACTTAATGAGTGTTTCTGTTTTTATGGCTTATATCAGTTTTACCTATCAGACAAATTTCATTTTAAAATCCCTCTCCCATAATTTCCTCTCATAAAATGGACCATAGAGCTGCATTTGTTTATTTAACACCTTGAAAATACAGCTTTACTATTGAGCTCACTGTTTTATTTTTTGAAACCTAATAAGTTTTACACAATATTAGAAACTAATCTTTATGCAATAAATTCCCTTAAAACTTCCACTTGGACTAGAATATATATGTTTCCTTTAAATTAATAATTCCACACCATCAAGCACCTCAAATATCATCTCCTATCACCCCTTAAGATCAAAGGCTTGGGAAAATTTATCAGACAAAAATATTTGCAAAAGAAATGCAGCTAGTTAGTTCACTGACTACCACCCTGTGCTGGCCCAGTGCAAAGGCCCATCTTATGGATGACAACCCTCAGTTGTTGCTATGCAACCGCCCACCCCTCTATGCTGCCCAGCCCTCTATGCTGATACACTACAGCTGGCTAGTTGACTACCACCTGTGCTAATACAATGAATTTGTCTGGCTCGCTGATGCCCACTCTGTGCTAACACAATTAAACTGGCCATCTCACCAGCTACTACCCTCTGGTGACGCAATACAGCTGGTCAGTTCACAGACTACTACCCTGTGCTGACCCAATCCACTGTGTCACAGAGGATATCGCAGGGCTTCCGAAATGCTCAGCGAGACTCAACATTGTCATTCATCCTGATTCCCTCAATAAACACCTGTTGCTCTCTCCTTTCCCCAGTAATATCTGTACCCATAAAATAAATGCTTAGATATGTGCTTATTTGTCTGCTTTGTAGCTCCCCATAAGTAGTTTCGGAGTTTCTTTTGTTGCATTTGACAAAACAGTTATTCATTGATCAGGAGTAGAAAGAAGGGATGGGGGCAGCAGGACACCTAGTGTTACATAAGGTTTCACTCACATAGGCACAATTTCACCCACCTTACTTCTGTCTACCTTTGGGCACCTCTAGCTGTCAGCTGCCTCCTATAATTTTCTTTTCATTCTGCTTAATCCCAAACAGTTGGGAGTATTTTGTTGTGTCATGTCATCCGGTGTAAATTCCTGGAAGATCCACAAAGCAAAGCAATTAGGGTCCTCATGTGTATACAATGATTTTTTAGAAATATGAGAAAGTAATATTTTTATCACCAAAAGCCTATTATAAGACATAAATAGTCTGAACCCCTAAAGACCCCGGCAGACACTTTTTAAGGCATAATTAACTAAGCAAATCCTAAAATATCATACAACAATTCTAAACAAAGAAAGAAGTGAAAGATGCAAACAATCCCCTTAGGGGCCAGAACATCTTTTGAAGCCAAGAATTTTGTTAGTCTCTACAGGTGGACTATTTCTGCAACTGATTTAAAATAATTAGAATTGACACAAAAACATATTCACAAGCAAAAACTCATTCTTTAGTATAGTTTCCAGTGTCACAGTAGCCAACACAGCATTTCAGGTTTGTTGGGAGGGATTGGGAGAGCATGGAATATTTTATCAAAAATATTTTAAGAATCACATTTCAAATTATATTCTCTATTTTACCAAAATTTAATGATTGAAAATAATAATGTTTATCTATATTTTAAGGTGCACATTTTCTTGACTTCTTAATAGATCATTCTCTCTGGCTTTGCTTGTTGTCAGCATAGCATCAATAGAAACTGAGTAATGAAATGATGTACTTGGACATCTTGGCACATGAGAAAGCCACAATTTCCTCCATGGTAATATGGATTTTTAAAATTTTCAACACCAAATATGTGAGTAAGGGGAACAGACAATGAGAAAGAAAATGAGAAAAAATGCAAAAGACAGAAGAGACTTGGGAACAAATAAAATGATAGATTGGGGGGAATAATAACAAAGACAAATTAACTAAAATAAAAGGCATGTGTTTATGTTTGAGGACATGAATTATTTTCTATAGACTAAATGGACTTTATGGATTATGTACATCACCAAGAGTAAATCTAGGGAAGTATCCAAGAGCACATGTAATCATTCCACAATGTTTCTGAATATGGAAGTGAAACTCTGGAGCGTCATGAACACCATTTCAAGATTGGTACAGCCAATCCTGACCGCTGTGTCATTTGAATCTATGCTTTTGGAATCCCAAAAAAGCACTACTTTAAAAGAGCTTCTGGAGCCGGCGCCGCGGCTCACTAGGCTAATCCTCCGCCTAGCGGCGCCGGCTCACCGGGTTCTAGTCCCGGTTGGGGCGCCGGATTCTGTCCCGGTTGCCCTTCTTCCAGGTCAGCTCTCTGCTGTGGCCAGGGAGTGCAGTGGAGGATGGCCCAGGTGCTTGGGCCCTGCACCCCATGGGAGACCAGGAAAAGCACCTGGCTCCTGGCTCCTGCCATCGGATCAGCGCGGTGCGCCGGCCGCCGCGCACCGACCACGGCGGCCATTGGAGGGTGAACCAACGGCAAAGGAAGACCTTTCTCTCTGTCTCTCTCTCTCACTGTCCACTCTGCCTGTCAAAAAAAAATAATAATAAAAGAGCTTCTGCATTTTTAAGTCACCCAGATCAATAAAAGACATTTAGAAATAATTCCTGGAGCTAGATTATACGTGGCTTCCACATATTCTGGAATCAGCTTGTTATGACAAAAATGCTCTCTTTAAAAGGAAACAAATGTACTTTATTATCTCTGTTTTTTCTTAATCTACTGTGTATGACCCTATCTATATTGCTGGCAAGTACAAAACATATATTTACTGCACTCTATCTCTTTGATTTCATTACAATTATTTTGGAAAAACATCTTAACAGTAGATGGAATGATGCTGTGTAAAATAACTGAAAAAATTCAGTTTTCTGTCTTTTACAGACTGTTTCCAAATCATTTAAATATATACAGACCTTCAATGTTACTACAGAAAGCTCAAATTGCTTTGATTTAAAATGTCATCATGAAGAAAAAAGTCAGAATTCATAATCCATGAGGCCCATGCACATACAAGCTAATCACATTCAGTCCTTTTGAGGTCAGAATTCATATCTGAGTCTGAATCAATATTAATATTCCTTTTTGGCACTTGGCAGATGAAAAATGTTTTCTGAAAAAGGAAGAGCTTCTATTGCTTTTATTAAGTAGTAGTTAGTTGGCTGCTCTTTGCTTCAATTTAAAAAGATAGTATGGAAACGGTTGTGCTTATAGTCTCCTAGTGTGTAAGGAATGCACTTGAGAAATTATATTATAACTTTATGGGTTTCGATGACTTCACAATAACAGTATTTTTGTTCAATTCAATATGCTTCTTCCTTAGAAATCTAAACATGGGAAAGTATGCTGTCGCACAAGTCTTTATAAAAACCCCATTAAGTCCAGATAGATTCATAGTTGATAAGTCCTAGAAGCATCCTTATTGTTCACCAAAGCATAGATTGATTCAAACTTCTATGAAAATGGGAGTACATGAATCACTCTTCCTAAGCTCAGAAATATATCTTCCTTCTTAATATGCCTGAATTTTCCCATTCCCCCATTGAGAAATCATCACAGGGTCCTGTGGCAGCAGGGTCAATTATATAGTTAATAGTCCTGCCAGTTTCAACATACGCGTCTTTCAATTCACCAATCAGTTTTCTTTCCCTCTCCAAATAGTGTACTATTTTGCCACTGAAAGGAGAGCCTGAGAAAGTGAGGAATACCACATAATTATTTTTCCCATCTTCTAAAGCTACAGATCATTTCAGCTGACACACATTTAAAAGCATCGACAATATGTCAGTGGATTAAAAAAATCCAAGAAGCATTTTAGAGCAATCAAATATTTCTTGTTCTGCATTAAACTATATACTACATTCGTTTCCTAAACCTCTTCACTTATGGCTAATTGGAGAGCATGCAGTTATTTAGGTATTATTTATATAGCCCAGGAAGTTCAGAACTGCCACCACAGTCGTCCCATTTAGAGTGGAAAGAATACATCACTATTTCACAAATAAATGAAACCTCATCATTTGAGCGACAGATCTACATTTCATGAACTAACACACTTCAAATATCACTTGAAAAGACATTCTTTAAACATAAAATGAAGTTTTCTTTTTGTCTGTTAAACATCAATAAAAACTAAAAATTAATAGATTGTGTAGTTAAGAACTTTTAGAATCAAAATCGTTTTCTTCTTTTAGATTTTTCTCCTGTATTTTAAACTCCAAAGAAAACAAAAACTAAACAATCCTGTCTTTTCTTATCACTTGCTAAAATTTTGCTTATATATTAATCAAATAGCTTTACTCATCTAAGAATCCTGTGCCCCTTACGTTTCCAGCTACTTTAATCTTCAGAAAAAAAAAAGTCAGAAAGCTTTTGGTGTTATTCTACTCTATTGTTTGTGACTGCATTTCATTCATATTTAGTTTTTTACCTTCAGCTTAAAGTTCTACCCCCTGCCCTAATTTTCCAATTTCTATCCAAGTCCTTAATAACAGAATACTATTGTAAGACACTAACATTTTGAAGACTTCTGTATTTGTTTAAAAGCAGAGCAATGGAGGAGGAAGGAGAGAGAGGAGATTTTTCATCTGCTGGTTTACTCCCCAAATGGCTGCCACAGCTAAAGTTGGGGCAAGCTGATGTCAATAGCCAGGAACTCCATCTGGGTTTCTCATATGAGTGGCAGTGGCGCAAGCACTTGAGTGGTCCTCCACTTCCTTTTCAATCCAGTATGGAGTTGGATTGGAAGCAGAGCAGCCAATATCCACACCTGCACTCCATATGGGTTGCCAGAGTCACAAAAGGTAGCCTTACCTGCTACACCACAATGTCAGCCCAAGACAGTGTTTTTATTTTTTGTATTCAGATCTGTTTTATTTATCTGCAAAGCAAAGATACAGAGAAGGAGAGATACACAGGGAGAAAAAGGACTCCCATCCACTGGTTCACTCCCTAAATGGCCATGATGGCTGGGGTTGGGCCAGACTGAAACCGGGAGCCAGGAGCCAGGAACTCCATCCAGTCCTGCTATGTGGGTGCAAAGGTCCAAGCATTTGGGCCATCTTCCACTGCTTTCTCAGGTGCATTATCAAGGAACTGGATTGGATGAGAAACAGACAGTTCCAATATGGGATGCTGGCATTGCAGGTGGTGGCTTAACCTGCTGGGCCACAAAAGTGGCCCCAACAGTACTTTTTGATAGATTCATTATAACATTTTTGTTTTTCACATCAATAGTATATATCTGGGCCTTACAACATGTCTGTATCCCAATATAAACTGAATTCACAGTCCTAAAAGAAATCATTTGGGGAAACATACCTGGGAGTTATACAACATATGCTTTTCAGTGTGTGTGTGTGTGTCTGTGTGTGTAAATTCAGGTTTGTTTATGTAGTGAAAGAGCAGAAACACACTGAGTAAGTCTATCTAATAGAGCCTCTGTGTTGTTATCATTGAAGACAAAAGCTGTCAAAAAGCAACCACTGTAAAGATGCAGGCTGCTCTCTGCTCAGTGATGTAAGTAGAACTATTTTGGACAGAGAGGCCAATAACAGACAATAGAACAGCAAGCATTAAGTGGTGAGGCAATTAATTTCTCAGATGCTAATTCAATGTCACAAAGAGAAAAAGGAAGAAAAACTAGAGAGCTAAAACAATCTTATAAACATTGTGTACATGATAGATTAATGAAAAGGAGGAAGTGAAAAGAAGAAATAAATTTTCTATTTGTCTAATGTGGTTTGGTTGGAAAACTGTAGCATTGTAAAATCGCTTTTATTGTTTATTTTATTTTTAAATACTTCCTATTCAAATCAATAATTCATCTTCACTTCAGCCATTATGCTGAGATAAAAAACATTGCAAGAATAGAGATTGTTCAAGATTTATATTTCTTTACAAGCTAAATCAGTAGCTATTTAAGTGTTTCTAATTCAACACTGTAAGAGAAAAGGAAATTAAATAGCAGAGTAATTCCCTACAATGTGTTTTGAGGGAAGTGACTTAAGAAAAGTGAGTAACTTTTCTTTTTTCTTAAAAATATTGATTTAATTGAATGTCGAGTTACAGAGAGAGAGAGAGAGAAGGGAGAGAATAGAGAGAAAGAGAGCGAGCCAGGAGCTTCCTCTGGGTCTCCTTTGTGGGTGCAGGGATCCAAGGACATGAGCCATCTAGTGCTGCTTTCCCAGGTGCATTAGCGCGGAGCTGGTTCGGAAGTGGAGCAGCTGAAACTCGTCAGTGACCATATGGGAGTGCAGGTGATGAGAACCACTTTTCAAGGTAGACCTCCTTCACCACATTGAGAAACACCACATGACTGGCTTGCAGGGAACCCCACATTTCTTTTCAGTATCCTGTTACCACATAGGCTTCAGGAGTTATTTACCAATTTATTTTTATTAAAATAATGGTAAGTTTATCACTTTTTTGAGTCCAGAAGCAACTATTTCTATATTCCAAAGAAGAAGTTCAAGTTGTCTTAAGAGCACAGCAAGTAAGTTCAGAAGGTAACTGCTCACCCTTTCTGAGTGTCACCATGTTTAAATTCTCCTACTGCACCAACTTTCCTGCCTCCAGGACCACTAAAAGTTGAGTTAAGTTTATAAGAATAATTAGAATTATCACCTCTTGACTTTTATTTCTGTAAAACAAGAAAGAAAATAGAGTGAAATGATCATTTGAAAAGGGACAAAATATGCAGTATAGACAAATATTATATTTAAATGGATGCAAGAAATGACTGAGCCTATACCAGTTGAATTTACATTCCCTACTTTCATCAAAGATCTTTCTTCCCACTTCCTCAAATTCTTCCCATTGTTTTCGGCAAAAATAGGCTGTCACAACTGAGTTCTAGCTGCTCCATATATAAACCTTATGCATGTAATAATAAGGGAATAGCAGAGGGAGTAATTCCAATTCATTCGTCTTGTCCATTAAATGCTTTCAAATGTTTCTTTTATTAGTCTTTCTGAGATTCTGTGTAATGACAATAGTCATTAAAAAACAAGTGAAACAGGGGCCAGCGCTGCAGCATAGCAGGTAAACTGCAACTTGCAGTGCTGGCAACCCATATGGGCTCGACTTCAAGTCCTGGTTATTCCACTTCCAATCCAGCTCTCTGCTATGTCCTGGGAAAGCAGGAGAAGATGGCTCAAGTCCTTGGGCCCCTGCACCCACGTGGGAGACCCGTAGGAAGCTCCTGGCTCCTGGCTTTGGATTGGCGCAGCGCTGGCCACTGTGGCTAATTGGAGAGTGAACCAGCTGATGGAAGATCTCTCTTTCTGTCTCCCTCTCTATCTCTCTGTCTCTCTCTGACTCTTCTTTCTCTGTGTGACTCTGGCTTTCAAATAAATAAATAAATCTTTAAAAAAAAAAACTAGTTAAACAAAACTATAAACCAATTCAGAGAATTCCATTCAGAGAATCACAAAATATTCTGATACTTTGAACTTAATATTTTTTTTTCTTTTTTTTTCTTTTTTTTTTTTTTTTATCTTTTATTTAATGAATATAAATTTCCAAAGTACGTCTCATGGGTTACAATGGCTTTCCCCCCCATACCGTCCCTCCCACCCACCACCCTCCCCTTTCCCACTCCCTCTCCCCTTCCATTCACATCAAGATTCATTTTCGATTATCTTAGTATACAGAAGATCAGCTTAGTATACCTTAAGTAAGGATTTCAACAGTTTGTTCCCACACAGAAACATAAAGTGGAAAATAATAGATGATTTTTTTTTTTTAAATGATGATGAAATCAGATCAGACCTATTGTCATGTTTAATCCCAGTGAGAGTCAAGTTGGGAATTGATAGTTTCTTCTTAAATGGTTTTTTTTTTTTTTTTTTAACAGAAGATCAGTTTAGTGTACATTAAGTAAAGATTTCAACAGTTTGCACCCCCATAGAAACACAAAGTGAAATATATTGTTTGAGTATTCGTTATAGCATTAAGCCTCAGTGTACAGCACATTAAGGACAGAGATCCTACGTGAGGAGTAAGTGCACAGTGACTCCTGTTGTTGACTTTACAAATTGACACTCCTGTTTATGGCATCAGTAATCTCCCTATGCACCAGTCATGAGTTTCCAAGGCTATGGAAGCCCCTTGAGTTCTCCGACTCTTATCTTGTTTAGACAAGGTCATAGTCAAAGTGGAGGTTCTCTCCTCCCTTCAGAGAAAGGCACCTCCCTCTTTGAAGACCTGCTTTGAACTTAATATACTCAACTATTTTTGTGTCATTTTGCACAGATTCTGTAAATAGCCTTTGAAATACAGAAGGTGAGTTGAACGTTTATGAACTATACAGCTAGCACTATTGATATTCATTTTGCTAATGAAGTAAAAATATTTAATTGTTTATGCTTCTGGTTGTAAGTGTGAGAAGTTAGTATCCTATTGAATCCTCTCATTTCAAAGCTTAAAACAATTTATTTCATAATGTTACCTGAATGTACATGATTTGTCAATGTGTATGCTATCCTGAGGCCATGCTCTTCAACTATAAAATTAAATTGTTTAATTTGGAAGGGCTTCACAGTTCTAAGGATGATTTTTAAAACATACAGATAAAAATGTGGTCAAGATTCTCTAACTGAAATGAAAACATTTACAAGAGCTAATATTGATTGCCATGTGGGAGCAAAGTTCACTATGTTAAATAAAATAATTTTATCTCAGCCATGTATTCAGAAAGTAGAAGAAAATACCAACTTTATTCTAATGCAAATGTGTATGTAACCATTACAGTTTAAGAGAAGAGATCATATAGTGCTGATAGTGAATTGCAATAATATCTAAAAGAACCATAACCTTGTTATTTTATTTTATTATATTGTCCCATTAGTACCCACCTCAGGCAAGTAAAACACTTCAGCTGTAGTTTCATGCCTCATCACACAGCAAAGGTGCTTTCCTAGTAGACCATAAAAATATCCATGCCATGTTTATCTTAAGAATTTATTTGCAATATATGTGTTTTTCTCTGACATGTAGTCACTTTTGGAAGAGCTATTAATTAAAGTGACCATAAATGATCCAACTGCCGCTAGAAGAAATCTAACAAATAAAAGCATTTTTTCCCAAACACTGCATCTGTTCTTGATTTGTTCATTCTTTTCAGTAGTTCCAGGCTCATTATTCTGGCTATATATCTCCATAATCAACTTGAAATTAATATACATCTCAGACATTTATTCCTACCGTGGTTGACATTTAATTAATTCCTTCTTTAAGTAACTTATAGTTAGATATATTAATGTCTTATTTTATGCATTAATAACCTTATGAAATAATCTCATTCTAATACTAGCTTACTATTCTGTGAATTAAATAACACCATATGTAAAATAATATTTCAGAATACTTCTGGAATATATTAAAAGTTTAAAATAACATAATTATCTTTTGTTTATTATTAACCATATTGAATCAATGCCATTTACGAAAGGGTTGAATTGATTTTCTACCATCCACAGGTGTGGTTTTCTTTCTATTTTTTTCAGAACTGAGTATCCTTTTATAAAGCTGTGGGTTTTCTAAAATAATTCAAGGAAGGATTTTCAGTGGTATTAATGGAAATTTTTATCATAGTAACTGATTATGTACTATACATTTTTTTAAAGATATTTATTTCTTTTAATGAACGGCAGAGTTACAGAGAGAAGAGACAGAGAGGCAGAGAGAGAATTTTGATTAAGACTTTTATCTTTTCCACAAGGATCCTAACTAAACATAAATAAAAACCATTTATTGTAAGGTATGTCAAAAATAGTTAAATGAATTTTGAGTGAGAATATTTCTTAAAAGGGAGATTGGTTTGGCTTTTAAAAATGTTTATTCACATAAAGAGAACAGGTTTCATGTATTCTATTGGTACACTTTCGAGAAGATAACCATACGTCTCTTCCTATCCTTTCCCCTCCAACTCCCATTCTTTTCCTTTCTTTCATCAGTTTTTCCAAGGAAATAATTTTAATCCACTCTATATTCACAGGCTTAATTCATCACTAACCGTACTATTCAACAAGTAAAACTGTCATTTTTTTAAATCTCACATCAATAGTGGATTTCAAACTGAGACTGTATTGACATTATAACTAATTTTCAATGTTTTGCTACTTTTATAATGCCTTCATACTTTATTAAAATTGATTTATTATTATTTTTGAGAATGTTTTAGGAATGCTATTAGAGTGCTAAATAAAAAAATAAGCACCCTTTCTTAACGTGATTAAGCACTTATGGGGGGAGCCAGTGCTGTGGTGCAATGGGTTAAAGCCCTGGCCTAAAGTGCTGGCATCCCATATGGACGCTGGTTCAAGTCCTGGCTGCTCCTCTTCCAATCCAGCTCTCTGCTATGGCTTAGGAAAGCAGTAGAAGATGACCCAAGTCCTTGGGCCGCTGCAGCCACGTGGGAGACCCAGAAGAATTTCCTGGCTCCTGGCTTCAGATTGGCGCAGCTCCAGCCATTGCAGCCATTTGGGGAATGAACCAGCGGATGGAAGACCACTCTTTCTCTCTTTCTCTTTTTCTCTGCCTCTCCTTTTCTGCCTGTGTAACTCTTTCAAAGAAATAAATAAACCTTAAGGAAAAAACACTTATGGAATGATTGACACACAAATCAGTATAATATGGTAAAAATAAATGACAAACAAAATATATTTAAAAACTAAAAACTAAACATAGAAAATAACAAATTAACCAAGTCTCTATTAAATGTTAGCTTGGGTCCTCCAATAAACAAACACTGAGATAGTATTAGCAGTGTCAGATATATACTGGGGAAAATGTGAAGGAGGGTAAATGAAAAGGGACCCAGAAAAAACAAATGAAGACATTTGACAATTATATTTAATCATTTTCCTCATGGGAAATTTCGATGTTTTTTGTTTTTTTTTTTTTTTTTTTTTTTTGACAGGCAGAGTCAGACAGTGAGAGAGAGAGAGACAGAGAGAAAGGGCTTCCTTTTTCCATTGGTTCACCCCCCCAAGTGGCCGCCTCGACCGGTGTGTTGTGGCCGGTGCTCTGCACCGATCCGAAGCCAGGAGCCAGGTGCTTCCTCCTGGTCTCCCAAGCAGGTGCAGGGCCCAAGGACTTGGGCCATCCTCCACTGTACTCCCGGGCCACAGCAGAGAGCTGGACTGGAAGAGGAGCAACCGGGACAGAACCCGGCGCCCTAACTGGGACTAGAACCCGGGGTGCCAGCGCCGCAGGTAGAGGATTAGCCTAGTGGGCAGTGGCGCAGGCCGATGGTGTATTTCTTTTACTGTTACAGGACACTCCTTGTCTCATGTATATCCAGGGCCAGCTACGCCACGATACTTGAGAAAATCTCCTCCTGAGAGTAAACTAGAAGAAAGATCTTTGCAGGATGAACAATAGCCCCATGGATGCAGCTGATCATAGGCTAGCAAATCATTCTCTTCCTCCACAGTGCTGTCTCGATCCGCCTCTTCTGACCTATCAATAATTCAGAAGTTCTGGTCATGTGACTCAATTCTGAGAAGCCCAGATACTAGGTAAGTTTGCTACATGTGTCTGTTCCCAGTTGTAATACACTCAAGTGAATCACCTAGTTTCCAAATATGATTATAGATAAGGATCAGTTACTTCTGTTATATGTTCCTCTCTTTGCCTCCAAATACCTAATGGTCCTATTGGGCTGTTTATTATCATGATAATAAACAGCCCAATAGGACCATTAGCACATCCCCTGGAAAGAAAATAAATGTAGAGACAGGATTTTAGGGACAAGAAGTATACCTCTCAATGAATTAATTCATAAATACAAACACAGGCACATATTCTTTTGATCAGAAACACAGATCCATATAGAGGTTTCTAATTTCACAAGTTCTCTGCATCTTGAAGGGTGGTATTCATCCTTTCAGAGTGTTGTTTTTGAAGTAACATTTCATCTGTCCCTTTACAAAGATCCCCTACAATGTCATGAAACTGGCTTCTACATGCTGAGATTTATAACACAACTAGTGCAGCCTGCGGTCATTGTCTCTCTCCCAAACCCCCTTCT